TGTCCCCAAATGTCCCCAAATCCCCTTCCCAACACCCCCACAGCGGCACTGCCACCCAGGTGGGTCCCCAAATTCTCCTAAAATGTCCCCAGATCTGCTTGCTCTGTCCCCAGGGCTGTCCCCAATGTCCCAGGGCTGTCCCCAATGTCCCCAATGTCCCCAATGTCCCCAGGCCATCGTGGAGCGCTGGCTCTGGCAGACGGGGGGGATGTCCCCAATGTCCCCAACGTGTCCCCAATGTCCCCAGGGCTGTCCCCAATGTCCCAGGGCTGTCCCCAACATGTCCCCAATGTCCCCAGGGCTGTCCCAAATGTCCCAGGGCTGTCCCCAATGTCCCCAGGCCATCGTGGAGCGCTGGCTCTGGCAGACGTGGGGGCTGTCCCCAATGTCCCCAATGTCCCCAACGTGTCCCCAATGTCCCTAATGTCCCCAGGGCTGTCCCCAATGTCCCCAATGTCCCCAGGGCTGTCCCCAATGTCCCCAATGTCCCAGGTCTGTCCCCAATGTCCCCAATGTCCCCAGGGCTGTCCCCAATGTCCCCAATGTCCCCAATGTCCCCAGGGCTGTCCCCAATGTCCCCAATGTCCCCAATGTCCCCAGGCCATCGTGGAGCGCTGGCTCTGGCAGACGCGGGGGCTGCGCCGGCAGGACCTGGGCCGGGCCGAGTTCCTGCGCGAGGTTTGGCGCTGGAAGGAGCGGTGAGGGGACATCGGGGACGTTGGGGACACCGTGGGGACACCGTGGGGACGTCGGGGACGCCTCGGGGGGGGTGGCCCCGCGGTGTCACCGCCCTGTCCCCCCCCAGGCACGGGGACGAGATCCTGCAGCAGCTGCGGGCGCTCGGGGCCTCGCTGGACTGGAGCCGCTGCGCCTTCACCATGGACCCCGTGCGTGTCCCCAGGGTCCCCAAGGGTCTCCAGGGGTCCCCAAGGGTCATTCGGGTGTCCCCAAGGGTCCCCAAGGGTCCCCAAGGGGTCACTCGGGTGTCCCCAAGGGTCACTCGGGTGTCCCCAAGGGTCTCCAGGGGTCCCCAGGGGGTCACTCGGGTGTCCCCAAGGGTCCCCAGGGTCCCCAAGGGTCCCCAAGGGTCACTCGGGTGTCCCCAAGGGTCCCCAGGGTCCCCAAGGGTCACTCGGGTGTCCCCAAGGGTCCCCGGGTGTCCCCAAGGGTCACTCGGGTGTCCCCAAGGGTCCCCAAGGGTCACTCGGGTGTCCCCAAGGGTCCCCGGGTGTCCCCAAGGGTCACTTGGGTGTCCCCGAGTGTCCAAAGTCTCCCCAGGTGTTCCAATCTGGCCCCAAAATGTTCCCAGCTCTGCCTGAAATATCCAAGAACTGTCCCCAAGTGTCCTCAAACTGTCCCCAAGTGTCCCCAAACTGTTCCCATGTCTCCAAACTGTCCCCAAACTGTCCCGAGACTGTCCCTAAGTGTCTCCATTGTCCCCAAACTGTATCCAAACTGTCCCCAAATGTCCCCAAATTTCCTCCAAAGTGTCCCTGCTGTCCCCAAACTGTCCCCAAAGTGTCCCCCCTCTCCCCAGGTGTCCCCAAGTGTCCCCAGGTCCCCAAACTGTCTCCAAACAGTCCTCAACCGTCCCCAATGTGTCCCCAAGTGTCTCTGCTCTCCCCAAACTGTCCCCAATGTGTCTCCGAGTGTCCCCAAACTGTCCCCAGACTGTCCCCAAGTGTCCCCATTGTCCCCAAACTGTCTCCAAGTGTCTCCAAAGTGTCCCCAACTGTCCCCCAAGTGTCCCCATTGTCCCCAAAGTGTCCCCAAAGTGTCTCCAAACTGTCTGCAAGTGTCCCCAAACTGTCCCCAAAGTGTCCCCAAGTGTCCCCGTGTGTCCCCAACGTCCCCAGGGCTTCTCGCGGGCGGTGACCGAGGCCTTCGTGCGCCTGGCGGCGGCGGGGCTGATCCGGCGGGACGAGCGCGTGGTGACCTGGAGCTGCGCGCTGCGCTCGGCGCTGGCCGACGTCGAGGTGTCCCCAACTGTCCCCAATGTCCCCAAGGGTCACCAGTGTCCCAGGGGTGTCCCATGGGTGTCCCAGGGGTGTCCCATGGGTGTCATGTCCCTGGAGCTGCGCTCGGCGCTGGCCGACGTCGAGGTGTCCCCAACTGTCCCCAATGTCCCCAAGGGTCACCAGTGTCCCCAGGGGTGTCCCAGGGGTGTCCCATGGGTGTCATGTCCCTGGAGCTGCGCTCGGCGCTGGCCGACGTCGAGGTGTCCCCAATGTCCCCAATGTCCCCAGGGGTCACCAGTGTCCCCAGGGGTGTCCCAGGGGTGTCCCCAAGGGTCCCCAATGTCCCCAGGGTGTCCCCAATGTCCCCAAGGTGTCCCCAAGGGTCCCCAATGTCCCCAAGGTGTCCCCAAGGGTCCCCAGGGGTGTCCCCAGTGTCCCAAGGGTGTCCCCAATGTCCCCAAGGTGTCCCCAATGTCCCCAGGGGTGTCCCCAAGGTGTCCCCAGGGGTGTCCCCAATGTCCCCAGGGTGTCCCCAGGGCTGTGACCCGCCCTGTCCCCCCAGGTGGAGCCCCGTGTCCTGACGGGCCCCACGGCGCTGAGTGTCCCCAACTGTCCCCACCCCGTCACCTTCGGCCTCCTCGTCACCTTCGCCTACCCCGTGGAGGGGGACGACGGTGGGTGGCACTGGGGACAGCCTGGGTGGCACTGGGGACATGGAGAGTGGCACTGGGGACAGCTGGGTGGCACTGGGGACATCGGGGGTGGCAGTGGGGACATGGAGAGTGGCACTGGGGACAGCCTGGGTGGCACTGGGGACATGGAGGGTGGCACTGGGGACAGCTGGGGTGGCACTGGGGACAGCCTGGGTGGCACTGGGGACATCGGGGGTGGCACTGGGGACAGCTGGGGTGGCACTGGGGACATGGAGGGTGGCAGTGGGGACAGCCTGGGTGGCACTGGGGACATGGAGGGTGGCACTGGGGACAGCTGGGGTGGCACTGGGGACATCGGGGGTGGCAGTGGGGACATCGGGGGTGGCACTGGGGACATTGGGGGTGGCACTGGGGACATTGGGGGTGGCACTGGGGACATCGAGGGTGGCACCTGGGGGTGGCTTTGTGGTGGGGGCTTCAGTTCTCCTGTCCTTGGGTGTCCCCACTGTCCCCTGGGTGTCCCCTGGGTGTCACCTGAGTGTCCCCTGGCTGTCCCCACTGTCCCCTGGGTGTCACCAATGTCACCTAGGTGTCACCTGAGTGTCCCCAATGTCCCCTGGCTGTCCCCAATGTCACCTGGGTGTCACCTGAGTGTCCCCTGGCTGTCCCCAGTGTCCCCTGGGTGTCCCCTGGCTGTCCCCACTGTCACCTGGGTGTCCCCTGGCTGTCCCCACTGTCACCTGGGTGTCCCCTGGCTGTCCCCACTGTCACCTGGGTGTCACCTGAGTGTCCCCAATGTCCCCTGGCTGTCCCCACTGTCACCTGGGTGTCCCCTGGCTGTCCCCACTGTCCCCTGGGTGTCCCCTGGCTGTCCCCGGTGTCCCCTGGCTGTCCCCTGGCTGTCCCCAATGTCACCTGGGTGTCCCCTGGCTGTCCCCAGTGTCACCTGGGTGTCCCCTGGCTGTCCCCAATGTCCCCTGGCTGTCCCCGGTGTCCCCTGGGTGTCCCCTGGCTGTCCCCAATGTCACCTGGGTGTCACCTGGCTGTCCCCCCTGTCACCTGGGTGTCCCCAATGTCACCTGGGTGTCCCTGCTGTCCCCAGGGCTGGAGGTGCCAGTGGCCACCACCCGCCCTGAGACGCTCTTTGGGGACGTGGCCGTGGCCGTGCACCCGCGGGACCCGCGCTACCTGGTGAGGGCGGGGCCTCACCTGAGGGGCGGGGCTTCACCTGATGGGCGGGGTCTCACCTGGTGGGTGGGGCCTCACCTGGTGGGGGGGTTCTCACCTGATGGGTGGGGTCTCACCTGAGGGGCGGGGCCTCACCTGAGGG